TAATATATATATATATATATATATATATATATATATAATATTGTAATATAGTTAAATAATATCTGAGAAAATATTATAAATATGTCTTTATACATAATATATAGCTGGCGCTGCCTTTATATTTTAGGAAGGTCCTTCACAAAGGGATTGGGTTAAAGCATTTAGCTTGTTTCTACTGATTTTGTTTTGATGTCTGTGGCATTATCATAATATCAGAAAGTATGTCAGAGCTGTGGCCCAGTGTGTAATGCTCATGACACACACTTGGAGATGGGTTTCAATCAAGCGGCAACCTTCCGGTCTCTCTTGTGAAACCAACACGGAAGTGACTAAAACTGCAATTCATCGACTGGCCGCTCACAGCTGCAGAAGAGACGCATTATGAAACATAACTCAGTTCAACTGATCTGACTTCGAAACTTTCAAAAGCATTTTCGTGTTTCGTTTAGCCCCAGACCTTAAGGACAAATGTTACATTTGGTTTCACTGAATAGACTCGAGCCAAAAAAAAATAATGAATTCAGTGGGCTGCTCAGGCTATTAGCTGAGGTGATGGTTTTATATTTCTGAGTTGGCTGACATTTACATTCACAAAGAGACACTTTCACAGTGTCATCTGCTCTGCCAGAACATTGAAACAGAGCGAGTATGTTTGTGTGTGCACTTCAGTGTAGGTTTGGTCTTATTAAAATTGCCTTGAGTCCTTGCCACTAGCACCTGCATGTGCATTATAACGTTGATTTCAAATAAATTTAGTTTTTAGTTTTTTTTTTTAATGTGGACAAACCATATAGAATTTATCAGTTATTGGCCATAAAATAAAATAAAGATTAGTTATAGTCGATGAACATCAAACTGAGAGGATAAAAACATTTTACTATTTTAAAATTAATTTAACTCACAATTTTTCTGATATTTTCCTAGAATAAGTTTGGTAAAAACAACTCCAAATATTATATCTGGGCCATAACCCTCTTTTTCTTTCTTTCAGAACCCTCTAGGAACCCTCTAAATGGAGATGCCATATTTCAAGAATAATTTTTGGGTAAGTCTGTCACATTTCTTATGCGATGGGGTTTTTAATGTTTCAGCTTTGTAGCAGTACAGTAAGAGCAAATGTTTACTCAGTGAATGTTTGGTACAGTTGCCTTGTAAGCAGTTTGGGATTCATATGCTGACTGTTTTAGTCGCATCATTGAAAGTATGAAGGAGGGATGGAGTGAGGATAGAACAAAGAGAGTAAAAAGTGAGAGAACAAAAGCAGAGGGCCAGGGCTTTGTCAGCTTTCCCATGAGGACAGCCGTGCTCTGCTCTTTCAGCAAACCTGGCAAGGCTATTTCAGGTGCGTCCTACTTTAATACCCAGCCTGCTCTCAAAGAACGAGGGAGAAGAGAGGGGGAAATCAAGGCAGAACGTTGAGGAACCACTGCTACTGAATACAGGCCACATTATAAGAGTACTTCCTACCAGTCGTCCATATGTTAAAGGAATTTACAACATCTGTGCCATCAGATTAGTTTTAGAGATACTTTTGTTGTAATGTGGCATTTTTGCCTGCCTCTAAACATCACTTGAAAGTAAACGGCATACCGTGATCCTGTTTAAATAAGAGTGCTCCGATCCGGATTTTTGGAGCTGATCACCAATCGTCGATCACAGGAAGCAGTATCTGCCAATATGATCACCGATCTTTTTGAAGCCTTCTTTGTATCATGTAGAATTATTTATAGTGATGCTCCAATCAGGATTTTTACAGACATTCATTCAGGGCTGAATTTCATTTTTGAAAATGGGGGGAATTGCTCTCTTAGGTGACTCTTGTGGGGGTATTTTTTAATTTGAGGGGTGGAGGCAGGGGGCTTTTTTACTTTTTTATTTTTTGTTGACATTTTTCAAAAATATATAATTATCTCACCTAAATGTTTGATCATGCAGTGCATTTTGTTGTTACAATGGGGCAGTTGCTGCACAATAGCTTACACGCAGCACAGGCCTGATTTCGTGAGCTGGATGTGAGGCTGCCTTATGTGTGTGCACTTTGAGTGTGCATAAGCGCACCATCTCTAGAAGAGCGCGCAAGTGCTGAATGGTTTAAACACTGGCCAGACTTAAAAAGAAATGCAAATTCTAAACTTTAGTGACGATGCAACACTGCCTCGATTGTGCAAATGACAATTCCTGTGTCAACTGTGCAGCATGCAGCTCGTTTATAGTGTAGACGCGATGTGATGATTTAAAGCCATTTGCACATTTTGAGAGGGAAAGAGAGAGCGCACGAGGTGATTCACTAACGCTGTTCACGATTCACTGCACGTTGTCAGTTTGAGATCGGCCTTTATAGAGACCGCCGATCAAACTTCCCAAAGTGATTATCAACCGATAGCGATCGGTATCTGATCAGTCGGAGCACCCCTGTGTTTAATCTGAACAGCCCTTCTTTCATTTGTTGTCTTGACTGAGGTTTTATTTTTGAGTTCCTCTACTGTGTTCTTCTGTGTGGTTGCAGCCTTTGGTCTACTGACCGGTTTCAGCAAGGTCATTTAGTTGTCTGGCTTTGTGTTTTTATTTTTTTGCTATGATGTTTCTAGGTGGTTATTCTGGTGATCTGGATGGTTGTTAGGGTGATCATAAAATTACAGAAGTAAAATGCATTTAAAACACTAATTCTCATGTTGACTGAAAAGAAATTCATTGTCATTCTAATATGTGTCTGTGTGTTTGCATATAATGTGATCATAATTGTGTGTGTTCGTCTGTTGTGTGTGTTCATCCTTCTCTGATGGTTTCTGCAGCAATGAATAAAAACACCGGTGTGAAATGACTGAGACGACACATTTGGGTAATTACTGAAAAAGCATGATTAATTAAGTCTCCGAGAGGGAATTCGCAATCGCAGTGATTAAGCACATTCCTTATTTAGCTCGTGCGTCTTCATCCTTACAACTATCTTAAATCTGTTTCTTCCTCAGATGGAAAACAGAGCATTCAGCAGGCCGTCAGATGTTTGTCGCACAACAGAGAGCTCATTTAGCAGCCTAATCAGTTCATTTTGTTTCATTCTGTTTCAGTTTTTTGAGGTAGGATGCGGATTATCTCAGTCTCACAAAGTGTTTGTGGCTTTGGAGCTTTGGAAGATGAGAGTTTGGTCTAGAAAATTGTTTAAAGCATGACCGTAGCTCAGGACTCTACAGAGCGTGTATTTTCTTGCCTTTGCCTGTAAAAATGACTTTGACCACAGACCACACCAGTGCGAGTGAAATATGCCGCCCAATCAGACCTCATGAACTTATATAGTAGTACCATCCAACATTAGACATAAATTAAATTTCATACTGAGATATTGTGTTCAGTTTTATATATTTTTTAAATATTCATTTATGCATTGACCACATTTTTATAATTAAGGTTTATTGTGAAATTGATGTATAGTGCATTAATATTAATTGAGTCATTAATTTGGTCATCACGTTGCTTAGTAACCTTCCAGGAGTGTTCAGTCATGTAACTTAATATAATTAAGTATTTGAAAATAAGGTTCAGGAATATCTATTATTCAAAATTATTCATAATAAATATTCATGAGCCATTCTTTTATAATAGTATTCTAATAGTAGAATTTGTTACTTAATTAGCACACACTTAGTGTCTTTCTTTCAATATATTATGGCTACTGCGCGATTTGTAATTCGTCCCCATTCATTAGGTCATGATCCATCAGTTTCCACTGTCATATTGTGACTGCGGGTGGGCTTTGCTTGTGCATGAAAGCAACCATCTACAACATGTAGCAAGCACTAATTTAATTTTAAACAATCTATTTTTCAGTCTCGTGAGAGAATTCCTCAAGTCAGTGTCTAGTCCTGTCTCCATCTCCAATGGACCACACGATGAGCATGATGTACTTTAAGTCAGTCAGTGTTTTCCCTCTTTCTCACCTAAGAGCAAATGCAGTTATTCATTATATTCAGAGGTGACAGGTCTGGGCCATGTGTGTGTGTGTTTGTGTGTTTTAATGTGCAGTCAGCAGTATTTTAAGTCTTTTAACACTACAGCACCTCTGCATGGAGTTCTGGGAAATGAGCGAACAATCAAATATAATCAAATAACACTAAAATTCTCATCATGATGCAAATGATGATGAAAAAAAAGGAAAAGGAATTCACTGAGAATTATTTTGATTCGGTACTGAAAAGTTTGATTTGATTTTGATTTGATTCAGTTTAGATTCATTTGATCATATTGCAATTCTAATGTAATTTTTTTTTTTTTTTTACATGTTCTTACATAGAGAAAGAAATTCTCTCTCTGGTAATGTGTTCATTTCTGCATGGCAGTATTTCATACTGACCGCTTCAAACCGCTAATCAGTTTTAAATATTCATTCATTAAATATCCAGCTCATAATATATCCAGTCCATAATATCCAGTCATTTGTTTCAGGAATCGGATGGAGAGTGCTGTACATACAAGTTTTCACACAGCCAAAATAGTCATGGAGTACTGTAAAAGAACAAGAACAATGTTTTAGGGCATTTAGCATTCATTTAAGCTTGATTGTGAGTATCGAACAAGACTGTCTGTGTTTCTTATAGTTTAAAACTCCATTTTCATTTTGTGTACACCCTATTCAAAATTAAAATCACACAATCCTGCTGCTTCTTGGAGCCCCGGTGAACTCATGGACCTGCACTGACAGTAGTATGTGAAAAGGTTTTTGGAGGGACTACAGTGAACATGGTGTTCTGTTCTGTCGCTTGTCGTTTGTGTGCGTTTAGTGGGCCTCACATGATTGCCTCACTTCCCTGAGCAGAATGGTACTGGAACGCCCTGCAATCATCCAGTTACAGCTTCCATGTGACACGGCTAAGTCATCAAACGCCATATTAGTCCTTACATGCTGCTAAAGTCATCATCCCTGCTTGTGTGTTTACAGCACGGGGTAATTAAAATCAAGTGAGACTGGTTATGTTCTGCAGACTAACACAGGTTGTCATTGTGAGGTGGTTCTTAGAAGAAGCTACTGTTGGAAGTTCAGCCTCATGCTCAGACTGACTTTTAACAGAGAAGCCCATTGACAAGGCATGATGGGAAAGTTAGAAGTTAAAATAATTACTGAAAACATTTAAAAACCCTTTTCAGAATAGCTCTCGACATTTGGTGAAATTGTTTTCTCCGAAAAATAAATTTCACAATTCATTAAAAAGAAACGACAAGTAACGCAATGAATTAAACATGACATTTTTAAGTTGAACAACAAATTTTCTTTAAAATAGTAGTTTTATTTCCAACTTTGAAAAATAATTTTCATATTGCACATTACCGATAGATAGCCAACTCGCTAAATATTTCAATAGAAAGCTAAAAACTTTTACTTTTGCTTTACATAGTTTTACTTTAGCTTTTAGCTAGCAAATGACTTTTCTGAAATATTTTATGCTTTCTTTTATTATTTATTAGTTGTAATTTCTAGCTTTTGTTATGCATTTTATGTATGATCATTTTGTCTTTTTTACCATTATAAAGTGGGTTTCATCTGTAATCGTATGTTACATTCAATTTGTTTTTTTTTATTTGTTTTCATGTGAAGTACTTTGTGCTTACTGTAATGCTTTTTATTGTAAAGTACTTAATTCTTGTGTGAAAGGAGTTATAAGAATAAAGTTTATTATTATTATTTTCTCAAACATATGAGACTCCCATCTAGTCACAGATTAGTTAATAGGGTTTTTTAAAACATATTAATATTATTTTTATATAAATAAAATTTAGAATTTTAATGTTTTAAATAAAATGTTATAATTTCAAAGTTGTGCACTTTCTGAAGAAAATGTAAGTTTTGCCAGGGTGGCTGGGTGGTGTTGCTAGGTTGTTAGAATGATCTGGATGATTGCTAAGGTAATCTGGGTGAATCGGTTGTGATCAGATAATTATGTTGCTGAGATTCTGAAAAAACTACACAGGATGAAACACAAGCACCAAAGATGTCCATCTGTGTGTAGACTAGCTTTTCACCCTTCACAAGTGCCACTTCCTGAGAGGAGAGGTCAAACTGAATTTTTTAACAGCCTTGGGTCTTGTTTTTAACAAGAAGGAATACTTCAGCCTCTCTCTATCACCGACACACACGTATGCCTGTCACCTTATGGAATGAGCCGTCATATGTGTCCCACTCTCTTACAGTTACCAGGGGAACCCTGTCGCTTTAGCAACCGCTATCTTGGTAGGAGACACGTTAATACCGAGTGTATTGGAGTTTGTCTTTCAACACCTGCAGCCCTGTTTAATGTCTTTGCCTTCCCTGTCTGTCATGCTCTCTTCAAACACAAAGCGTCCTCTGTGTCCTTAGATAAGGTGAATGGCAGATACTGCTGTATACTTTGCAAATGAACTTCAGGGAATGAAGCTATGAAAGAACAGAAATACTCTGGGTGTCAGCGATGGCCTATCATTCCATTTGCTTTCAGCACCCGAATTCTGACTGAAGTGTCAGGGGAAAAGATTGTTGGTTTACTTGCCAGATACTTGTTTACCATCACATGCATATAAAAAGAGAGAGAGAGATGTGAGAGAAAGGGGCAGAGGAGAGTGAAAGAAGGAGAGAGAGCTTTAAAAGGGGTGCTGTTGTACCTGTGCTGTGTGGGCAGAGCAGAGAGAATCATGGGATATCAACTTTCCAAAGGGGTCAGGTTTCAACAAGCATACTGGCCACAACAATCATCAGCTGTTGTTTGTCTTTTTCTTTTTTAAAGATTGAAATGACATGTTGGTTGCAATTGGTTCACTTAGTTTTTGTTGTTTTGTAACCTCAGTTCTTCAAACAGCACATTTCTGTAATCATGTACAAAATAAAGAACTGAAATTGAACACCAGAAGTGTTCATGGGTAAATGATACCCTAGTCTAGATCTGACTATAGTGCCACAGGAACTTCATAGAGTGCAGGAGTGAACCCACTTTTTCAGCTGCCTGATTTTCACATTTTATAAACCATGCACAACATTGCAACATTTGATTCAAATCAAAAGTATTTGATTACTTGATTTGGTTCAGCTGTTTTTTGGAACTTCACCACACCATAGAATTGTAGCACCTCTGTCATTGGCTAAAATCGATTCTGATAACCTCTACTTTCCCCTGTGGAACACAGAAGCTTGACCTTTGACCTAGTTTTATGTATGATCTGAATTTTGTATTTTAACTTGAAGCTGCAATTTTTTGTGATCTGAATATTTACAGCTAATTTCACCTCAGAGAACATCATAAAATCTGCTGTTTAAAAACACAAATGTATAAAATATGCCACCAAATATGCCACCATTGTTAAAGGTTATGTCTAAAATTCAAATGTACAAAATTCTCATTCATTTTCTAATTTCATAAATAACCAGCTGTTGACTTGTAGCTCACAAGTTTTTCACTTTCTCAATGACATGCATCTAAAAAGATTCAAATTAGACCTAAGTGAAAAGTATTTAGGAGAGGGCTGAACTGCACAAATCAACATCACTTGTCTTCATCAGCGATACTCATACTTGACATCAATATTTGTGCAACACTTCTGACTTTTCCAGTAGAATGTTAGAAGCAGCTTTTGATTTGGTATATGTTCTGGCTCTTCCAGATTCTATCCTTGGATAGTAGGAATTTTGTTAATTTTTCTTTTACCTGGGAAGTTCTTTCTATGGTGTGGAGGTATTTATGGCCAGTGACTGCCCTGGTTCTGTCATCTCTTTCTGTCTCTCCTTTGTTGACAGTTTTCTGTTTGCTCAAAGAAAGGGGGCTATTTTTATACTTGCTAACTTTGACCGCAGGATGTGCCGTTGCTTTGTTCCAAAGGTTATCATCTGAGGATCTCCCTACTGGGCTTTGGCCTTTGAGGGAAATCTGTGTGTGTTGTTCTCCTTGCTCACGTGGCATGTCTTGTATACACTTCTGTGATATTGTTTTGTTGTTATTTTCACTGTACTACACTGCACTGTGATTTTGAGACATCTTCAAAGAGAAGTGAAGTTAGTGATGTTACAAAGAATTAGTGTGTGTTTGAACCAGTTTTTTGGACCTCAATCAGCTTCACGAAAGCTCGTTTATATAGCATAAACTGAGAAATTACAAATTACAAATGCTGACGTTCTGTAGAGGCACATACTGTATTTTGTGCCTGCTGTAATCAACGGCCCACAGTCAGCAGTCCAATCTTCCAAGTTCCGCTTGCTATTTTTATTTTAACACTTATTTGTTTCTGATGATTAATCATTTTTACACACACTGCAGGAATGTACCTTATGTTGGTGTTTTTCTTTGTTCACAGGGAGAGAAGAATGCAGGTTTCGACATTCTCTACCACAACATGAAGCATGGACAGATCGCCACCAAAGAGTTGGCTGAGTTTGTGCGTGAGAGGTGAGGTGTTGTTTTGGGAGGAGTCGTCATGGTGATGGGGAAGAGGGGTGAGATGGTGTAACTGGTACTGTCAGGAATGTGACGTGAAATTTGTTTTCTACTCCTTCTCTACTCCTCACTTCTTGTGTTTCTAACTCTGCAGTAGCAGGTGTGTTTTTAAAGTGAAATGATAAGTGGAATGTTCGTGTTAGGATGTTTCAATAATGTTATGCTGCATTATACTGTAACTTGTTACTGTAACGTTAAGTCTTATTTGATTTTAATGCTATGTAATACTGTTACATTTATTATTGTCTTATTTGATCTTACTTCATCTTATCATTTAATGTTACATGACATTCTGTACTTTATTGTTACTATAATGTTATGTCTTATCTACATTATTATTATTATTCTACATTATGGTTTTGTGATGTTTTGTCTTATTTGTCTTGTTTTGTCTTATTATGTTATTGTGATGTTTTGTCTTATTTGATCATATTATTTAATTTTACATTACATTTTCCTTTGCTATATTATATTGTCAGTGTAATGCTTTGTCTTATATCTTATTGAATAATGTTGCATTACTTTATCTAAATATTTTGTCTTATATGATCATTTTCTCTCTTATATAATGTTACATTACGTTATGTTATGTTACATTGTTATGTGACATTGCAATGTTACGTTATTGCAGTGTTTTGTCTTATTTGATCATATTACATTGTATCATATTATATTATAGTACAAACGAAACATAGCATAGTATAATGTAATGTGATAACTGATATCATTGATTCTTATTGTATTTCATCTTTTTTTGATCAAATTTTTATTTTTATTTTTTACATTTTTTGCTCTGTGGTTGATTTCTCCACACTACAGTTCTGTTTTTCAGCGCACAGCACTGAAGTGTCAAAACTACTAACTACACACTAACCTGAGAGCAGCAGAGCAGTCAACAAAGTGTTCACTGTCCACTCATGCACATGTCTACAAATGCAAGGCAGCTCAGCAGTCAGAAAATGCTGTACATGCAGCATATAAAACAGATCTTCATTTTACCGTTCCACTGACAGCATATGTGGGATGTGTTAGCATTCCTTTTGGTCTGTAGTAGACATTTGAGTTGGAGCTAATAGCAATAATTAAAATGAAATCTCCAAAATGACTCTCTCATTCTGCAGAGAGAACAGAGACTATTTACAGCTCCGCCAAGCCTCCTGCCAACTTTCATAGTCTCTTCAATCCGTTATAATGGAGCTGGATGCAGGCACTCTCAGTCATGGACTGGAGGATTAAATTGTTGTTGTTTTTTTATGTTAGAAATCTGTCCAGGAAAGCCCTGGAGGAGAGTGCTGAGAAATTGAGAGAGACAAATAGGTCCCTGATAAAAGCATAGCTTGTGCAATAAATTGCATAAATCAATTTTCAAAGGCCATTTTGCATCCACTCATTGTGCCTCAAAGTGGCTGTGCTCCTTGAAGAATCTGACTTGACTTTCCATTGTGCTGTCCCAACAGAAAGCAACATTTCACTTATAAGAATCAAATAAGATGTTTTCTAAGAGATAAGGCCAACAATATAGTTTGACGGACTGGGATGATAATGACAACATCCTTTTTCCCATGAGCAGACTCTGAAGTCAGAACAAAAAAGCTTGGCTTATCGGAGAAGCAGATCACATAGTGGTTGATAAGAAATATTTGGTCTTTTCAGCTTTGGCCGTGACACTTTGGAAAACTACTGTGTGTTTTCTCACACTTTTTGAGTGGTTTTTGTCCTGATGGTTGCTTTTAAAGTCACTCATGGTTTCCCTTACAAAAACGTACCATGTACGAAACCATACAAATGTAGTGTGTGCACCATTACAAATATATACGCCTAGCAACTTTCATCGAAGAACTGTTTGTGACCTTTGAGACATTAATGTTGGTGCTAAATCACTTTCATGTGAAAGTATATTTGCTTTTGTGTTTGTAAGCGAATCTATTACCGGCTGACACTCTGTGTGTGTTTGTGTTTGCATATAAGGGTGGCCATCGAGGAGACTTACTCGAAATCCATGAGCAAACTGGCCAAGATTGCTAGCAATGGAAGCCCTCTCGGGTGAGTAACATTATTCCTGTAGTTATGAGATTAGGATTTTGACATTTTACAGGCACTATTGACCAGAGTAGGTAACAGTTTTGGACTTTAAGGTATCATGTGTTGAAAATCGCTATTACCATCTGATTTTGTCATCTAGAGAGGAACAAAACATTAAAAAGTTTACTCTTGAAAAGTTTGGCCTACTGCTGCCTTACAGATACTTATCAGCAGGGAGATTCAGGAGGATTGTATGTGTGTATTTTTGTGTACAAGTATGTGCGGTTGTGTGTAATTGGTCAAAAAGTCGTTGCTATGGTTAGCTCTTTCCTCTGCTCTCTTCACCTCACTTCCTGTCTGCATGTGCAAGTTCTCACAAAACAAGCACACAGTGCTTTAACACTGTAAAAACAGACTTTGCAGTGATGCAAAGTGGGTATAGAGCCAAACTCGTTAAATAATTAAGAGCACAAATACAAAGCTAAGAGAAATGTATCTTTTTTCATATGAACTTTGTTTTTGGGTGTCTTGGGGAGTCAGGAGAAGTAGACTTACGAAGGCAAGGAAGCCTGTTGTTTTTCTAATACTGCTGTGCTATAAGAACTCCGAGCGGCTTACGCACTCCCATACATCAGCATCTAACCACCTGCTTTGCTCCCCAGCACGTTCGCCCCTATGTGGGACGTGTTTCGCGTGTCCTCGGACAAACTGGCCCTCTGCCACCTGGAGCTCATGAGGAAGATGAATGACCTTATCCGTGACATCAACAAGTACAGCGAGGAGCAGGTCAAAATTCACCGCAAGGTAAATGAAGGGCTTTTAGCCTGATAGAATTTATGTGCATGTCTCTGATCATTTCCGATCCCCTACAGCATTTCAGAATGAGTGCATTGGGTTCTAAATTTGTGCTTAATATCTGTTGCTTATTTAAATATGTTGTGTCTTATGTAGACGAAAGAGGAAGTGATCGGGACTTTGGAGTCAGTGCAGTCTCTTCAGGTGCAGAACACCCACCTGCAGAAGGCCAGAGAACGCTATCACAGCAAGTGTGTAGAGCTGGAGAGACTGCACAAAGAAGGAATGCCTCAGAAAGAGCTGGAAAAGGTGTTTGTGTTTGAGAGAGAAGACTTAAAAGTCCAAAAATGTCAATTCTGTCATCATTTACACACCCTCATGTCATTGTAAACCTCAAAAAGGACACAAAAGCACCATAGAAGTAACATGAAAGTAGTCTATGCGATTTTAAGTTATTTACAGATAAAATGACCAGTTTGACTTGGGAACTGGATCAGTCTGATTTGTGAACCACATCAGCTGATTCATTAAAACTGATTCAAAAGAGCAGTTTGTTAACGAAGCAGCTGTCACTACCTTTCTCTTGAATGCGCCATAGACGCAGGCCGATGTTTTTTCAGAATAATGATGCTCGAAAGAATAGAAAAAATTCTTCAAAAAGTATCCTTTTATGTTCCACTAAGGAAAGAAAGTCATACTAGTTTGGAATGACATGAGGGCAGCTCTTTTGGTTGAACTAATCCTTTAAGATAGTAGCCTTCATCCTGTTTTTGTCATCTTAAAAAAATAAAGGCTAAATTTCTAACTTTCTTATATATATATATATATACACACACACATATATTGATCTGTCTCTTTCTCTTTTCTCAGGCTGAGCTGAAATCTAAGAAGGCAGCTGGGTCTTTTGCAGGGTCTATTGAGAAGTTTAACCGTACTGGAAGAGACTTTGAACAGAAAATGAGTGAATCAGCACAGGTTGATGATTTTTCAGGATTTTTTCCAGCCCTGCTAAGGGCATAAGCACATACCACAGTCGCATGTGTGAAACATTTTTAAAGCAGGGTTTAGCTCACTAGTTCTCATAATCTAGACCTTCAGAGCAAAATTTACAGTATTTCAATGAGCTCAATAAAGCAGTGTAAAGTTACCATGGCTACAAGGGCCATTAAAGCAGTCTGTTTGACAAAATGATTACATGCCTAGTCTATTTCTGCCTGGTGTCGACCTGCAAGTATGAATAATTTGAGAGCAAAGAAAGGATGAATCAGTAAAATGTAAGAGTCCTGAAATCACTCTCTGAGAGCAACGGAGTCGTGGTATCCCTCAATTAGGGCATCAGCAATAATCTTTCAATTATAGAGGCTGACCACTATTAAATGCCAGGGCCAGTTCTATTTAAACTCAGCAAGTTTAAATATAAGGTCCTGATTTACAGAGATCCCAAATAAAAGTTGCAAATATGCTTGTACAGCCTAATAAAATGCTTTTCAGCTCCATCTGTTGAATTGTCATCAATGTCAGACAAAAAAAATCCTTATTTTGCACATGTATTATTCACACATGTACTCAGTTTTCTGTTGTTCCTAATTACAAATAGGATTATCTAAACAGTCCTAAAAAGTACAAAATATCATTTAAAAATAAAACTATAACACATAGAAGGTAAAATATTAAAACAACTTTCAGAAGATTTTTGGCTCGATTTTGCTTAAAACATTTTTCATTAATATCAGACGGTAATGACTAAAAGTAGGCAGTGAAGTTATATAATTATTTTATAAAATAGATGTATGTTTTACAACTTAACTGTCTTTAAAAGATATATCAGATCTGTTTTTCTTTTATTTCTTTAAAGCAATAAGAAGGTTGAGGCCATATTATATTGTAAATATTCACAATATATACACTTCTGTTCAAAAGTTTGAGAAAATTATGCTTTTATTAAGCAAGGATGCATAAAATTGAGAAAAATAAATACTTTTACATTGTTACCAAAAATGTCTGGTAAATAAATGTATTTTTTTTTTATTGTTATTAATATTTTACTGTGTTTTTGATTAAATAAATGCAGCCTTGGTGAGCCTAAGAGAAACATTTTTTTAAAGTCTTACCAACACCAAACGTTTAAACAGTAGTGTAAGTCAGTAGAGGTCAGTAGCTTCTCTTTACATTTGTCCTTCTACATCTGCAGAAATTTCAGGACATTGAGGAGGCTCATTTACGTCAGATGAAACTACTGATCAAAGCGTATTCACACTCCATTGAAGACACACACGTACAGGTTGGGCAGGTACGGCTCACTCTGGAGATTTTATCTACTCCTATATTCTGTTTGCATACTGTAGTTGTTCAGATGAATTACCCCGTGGCTCAGAGTTGTTCTGGTCAATGTGGTCCTCATGAACCTCCTTCAGGTCCATGAGGAATTTAAGCAGAACGTGGAGAACATTGGCATTGAGAACCTCATTCAGAAGTTTACAGACCAGAAGGGAACAGGGAAGGAGAGACCGGGTGAGTCACAGAAAGATAAAACAATTTCCCCAGAAATTGCATTTCTGTTTTATTGGATAGCAATGCATTGAAAATCATTCTTCTGCAAAATACAAGGTTTTATAATTTGTCATATAGTGAATTACAAATGTACCGCTCAGCTCCAAACCTTCCTTAAACTACTGTGTGTGTGTGTGTGCATAAGGTCCAGTAGGGTTCGAGGAATATCTGTCCCCACTAGTGTCTGAGAACAGTAAAAAGAGTCGTGCTAAAGCCTTCAGGATCCCTGGACTGGGAAAGAAAGACAAGGAACCGGATTCAACGTGAGTCATGCATTCATATGAAACGCAACACATTTAATGTTCTAGATCAGGCCTGTAATAGACTTTGAGAGCATTCATAGTTAGTTTTTCAGTGACCAATTCTTCTTATTTACTGTATGGCTTTTCATACCTCTTCTGTTTTTGTCCTCTAGAGATTCAGCTGTGGCAGATGCGCTTGTGAGTTCACATAACACACACACACACACACACACTCTTTGCTGAATTGTTTTTACACAGAGAACAGGTGATTGTGTGTGTGTGTGTGTGGTTACTGGTCTTGTATCATCAGCTGTTCTTGATTAAACTTCTGTGACACTTTTTAGACCGTCTAAAAAAGTCTCATCTCAAACCAGTTGTTAGTTTACTAACACACATATATACATAGACCATAGATGCTATATTAGTGAGAACATCTTAAAGACAGAGATGTTTTTATGTTTTATTTATTGGAATATAATTTATACCAAAATTGTTAATTGCATGTTTTCTTATGAACAATTTCATTTTTCACAAATTTGGGAGGACAAATTTGTCCTTTAAAATAGCTAAGTAAACCCTCCTCCAGAAGTAAACAGACACATACTGTACACAGAATGCAGACTCTTTTTCTACACAGACTTCTGTGTGTATATGCTATGCAAGAGAGAGTGACATGTTTGGCAAGGTCTGGTTACCTCATTAAGCTATATTTAACCTTGGCAATACTCAGGGTGTTTAATGAATGTTTGATATAGCCCACTGACTGCCAAAATCCTTCATAAACACACATGTGTTACGGGCTGTTATGCAAGACGTCAGACCACTACTAACTCTCTTAAAACATCGGCACTGTTTTCATATGAGCCATGGCAACAGCATTAGCGTGTTTATGAGTGAAAGTCAGACCACATCCATGTTACAGACCTCCAAAGAATCATCACTCTGTCACCTTATGTCCTGTGCCTTTTAAATGTTGTTTCTTATTGTGAGCTTGTGCTGTCTGTTTGTGCTTGTGTGTAGAACTCACCCCTCAAAGTGGACAACGAGGGCTTTGTGATACGTGCAGATGTCAACCAGAATGATATCCTTCAGAATAAGCCATCAGGAGTGGATGTAGTGAGAGTATACAGTGTGTGTGTATGTGCATAACTGTGCATAACTATAGGCAGACAGTGGGGCTGATATAACTAGTAAACATGCTTCAGTTCATTTCATAACATTTCATTACAGTTTGACTTGAAGAAATTGATATGAAATTCAAAATATCTTAGTATTCAGTTTGTCTCTCTTCTGCTGACAGCAGAACTCAAGCTTCATTACCTCCACAAGTTTGTGTAAATCCTGATAATCATGTGATCCAGCATGATTTGAGAATCATCAAAAGAGCATCTTGTAATGCAATGGAGGCAAAAACATCTGTCAAGTCAAGTCACCTTTATTTATATAGCACTTTTAACAATACAGATTGTGTCAAAGCAACTGTACAGCATTAATTAGGAAAATATTGTGTCAATAATGCAAAATGATAATAGTAAACACAACATTTTCAGTTAAAGGCAGTTCATCATTGAATTCAGTGATGTCATCATCCAGCTCAGTTCAGTTTAAATAGTGTCTGTGCAATCAAGTTGACGATATCGCTGGAAATGAAGTGTCCCCAACTAAGCAAGCCAGTGGCGAGGCAACAGCGGCAAGGAACCAAAACTCCATCGGTGACAGAATGGAGAAAAAAACCTTGGGAGAAACCAGGCTCAGTCGGGGGGCCAGTTCTCCTCTGACCAGACGAAACCAGCAGTTCAATTCCAGGCTGCAGCAATGTCACATTGTGCAGAGGACTCAACTGGTTCCTGTGGTCTTGTCCCGGTCCCTTATCTGTACAAAAGTCACTAGTCTGCTTATTTGATGAATGACCTAGAAATAGAATCTTAAGTATTTTTTATTTATTTTATGTCATAACATTTTATTTTAAACAAAAAAATTATAAAGCTTTCTGAAATCCTAAAGTTTAATTTCAGGTTTAAATTAGATGTTAAATCCCTGATTTCCAACTTGGCCTTGGGCTTTTGGACCCTATTGTAGATATTTGAGGATTGGGAAGTATATTCTCAGCACTACAACAAATAATTTTACCAAAACTTATTTTCTTATTCTCAGACCTCATCTATGTGGTCTAAAACAGAGGGAGAGGAGAGGGATTTAATTGCCTTCTTTGTTTGTTTTTTATTGTTATTTTCTGCAATACTGTCTTCACACACCATCAAAAATATCACATACAGATAGAAAGGAAGTTATTGTCAGGAAGTGTGGTTTGATAAGGCAGGATGTGAAATAGAGACACTTGTATTGTCTGATAATGGACAGTGATGGATTTGCCCAATAACAATTTCTCCCCAAATACCCTGTGACAAAGATCTGTTGTCAATCTTAGGTTCCTGAAAATTGAAGTTCGTCATGAGGGGTGTTTAAGGATTTGAAACTCAGTAGCGTCCCTAAATAGGATGGTTATTTTTGCACCTCACCACAGTTTGTAGACTATTCAGAACAGCTGTGTTTGTGTGAATGTTTGCACTCATGTCTATTTGTGGTCGTGTGTGTTTTCTTTGTACCTGTGTGCGAGTACATATGTATCCTGCATCGTGTCTGGATTTGCTCCTTAACTGCATTGCTCTCTACGTTGTGCTGCTGAGGAGAAGGAGGGAAATTTTTACTCCAGCGACTCGGATTTCGATGATGATGAACCCAAGAAGTTTCACATCCAGATCCGACCGGTTGCCAGCAGTAACCGTAGCAACTCAGCAGCCAATGAACTGGAGTTGAAGGCCACAGTGGGGGCGTTGACCCTGCCTCCTAACAGAGCGGTAAGAGGGGGGGACTTAATAGCTTAAGTAAGACTGAGGGCAGGTGGTTTTAAGAGATTTATTTTACAGCTATATATATATATAAAGCTGTTTTATTCTACATGATGAGATCAAAAGACTAGTCAAATAACACTTACAACTTCCACAAGTCAGTTTGCACAGGATTTTAGTAGTTCGCCTGCAAACAAAGTCATGTTTACAAGGTGCCAGACTGCTAAAATTAGCTCTTTTGAGCAAAAACAAAAAAACAGACAAAAGTTGTGGTTTTTAGTGTAATCAAATCTTTGAAAAATAGTGTTTCTTGTCTAGAGTATCTATGTCTAGTTTATTCAGAAAATCCACACATAGTACATTAAAACAAAATGATTAATGTGCAAGAGAATAAAGTCCATGACTGCTGTCATATTGGTTGGTTAGGAAAATAAAGAAGATACAGAAGATATTGCGCGAAGTTTGTGCATCTTTACATTTTACTCTCTCTTTTTAAAGATGTCATTAAAAAATATTGTGCACAACATTGGTTAAAATTGTACTTGTACCTCCTCTCATTCATCCCATTGTGAAGGTGTCAGTAAAGAAGCAGCTCTCACGTAAGTTAACTTGTATTCCCCTCTATATCTCAGATTATATTATGTATGTGTAAGTGTGAATATTTTTCATGTGTCCCATTCCTCTGTTACAGGAAACTCCAGTTCAGCAGGTCGATCTGAAGGAGAAGGGGAAAGTGTTCCCCAGAAAGGTCTGTCACACTCCGCAGACGTCCTCTTCTGTACTCATTCAGCTAGAGTTACATCGTAGATCATTAATTTTTCAGTGCTCATGCATTGTACCTGCGACTAATTTCAACAAGCCATCTCAAATGGCCACAGTCACACACACAAAATGTCCCACCTCCTCCTCTGTCCACATTATTAGATGTCATTATCCCACAAACACAGCTCCATTTGACACCTTAATCACAGCAATCTGCCATCCAGCTGACCTGGGATCAGTGTCATAACTGCACTGTCATTATTGCCTTATACTGACAGCCTGATCTCAGTCTCAGAATGAACTCTGTTTTTGTATTGTGGGTTTTGGCAATAATAGCAAAAGTGAAACAATATGGTGTGTGTATGTGGCTCACTATTACTCAAACCTGCTTAATTGCAGACATTAGTCACATAGATTAATGCTACTATTTTGATAGTTCATGGTTTGAATCATTTTTGATGAAAAATGTATATAGTTTTTATCCGGTAATATTATACTGTGCTATTATATGCTGTACGTTATGTATTATGGGTGTGTTATAATGGTTAAACGTCTAGGCTGGTTACCATCACTATCACTATTGTGGCCATGAGAAAGGCATTTAACCTAATGTTTCTTCAGGGAGAATCCCTATAGTAAGTGTACTGTAAGCCACTTTGGATAAAAGCATCTGCTAAATGACCCCTTACTTTATTATTGTATGGTATTGTTATATTGCACAGTAGAGTAATGTTTTTTTGTTTTTTTTTTTACAGATGGAGAACAGGAGGGTCTGCGCAGATCCACATCCAGCCCAGATCACAGCAGGTACAAAAAGATTTTCCATACAGTATAATAACTGAACACTTTAACATCCAAAAATGCAGATTTAAAGGTGAAGTATGTAGTTTTTGTGGCATAAATGCTAAATGCTGACTGTTGGTCTCACCCCAAACCCACACCATTGGTTGAGCAAGAAGTTAACATGTTAAGACAAACTGAACAAAAATGCAGTTTAATAAATAAATACAAATTCAAAATTTAATTGATTAAAATTTCAATTGAATTGAATACTATTGCAAATTATTTAATTTAAATATATTTTTATTAGCTTATTATAAGTATATAGATTATAATATTTTAAAGGTTATTTATGTTATTTAGATGTACAATCATCTTTATTAGGTTATTTATATAATTTGGATTATAAACACTACCATTCAAAAGTTTGCAGTCAGTAATGTTTTCAATGTTTTTGAAAGAAGATTCTGCTCACCAAAGCTGCATTTATTTGATCAAAAGTACAGTAAAACAGTAATATTGTGAAATATCATTACAATTTAAAATAACTCTTTTATATTTTAATATATTTAAAAATATTCCTGTGATAGCAAAACTGAAGTTTCAGCAGCCATTATTCCAGTCTTCAGTGTCACATGATCCTTCAGAAATTATTCAAATATGCTGATTTGCTCCTCAGTAACATTTCTGATTATTTTAATGCTGAAAACAGCTTCATTTTTTTGAGGAAACTTTTTTTTTCATGATTTTCTTATGAATATACATGCACCCTCTCAGACATGACCTTGATTATGCTGATTTAGTGCTCAAGAAACATTTTTTTTATAATCAGTGTTGAACACTTTTGCTGATTTATGTATTAATGTATTTGTGGAAACCACGAACCAGTGCTTCCTTGCTCAATAAAGGAATTAATTTCTTTTAAAGAAAAATAATTTACAGACCCCAAACTTTTAACACTAGTGTGGATTTAAATGATTATTATATATATTTAAATAATTATTGTTTCTATTATTTCTGTTATTAATCCTGCATTTTAATGGCTTTAGTTTCTCCTACATTCACTTCTTCACCCGTTCAGTTTCCTTCCTCTCATCTCTGCAGGCTGAGTTCCACAGCATCCGGTTCGGACGCTCTGTTTGGACCTCCTCTGGAGTCGGCCTTTAAATCCCACAGCTTTGCTGGCAGAGAACAGCTCCAGAAGGCCTTTGCTGCATCTGAATGTAAACCTCCAGCAGCACACCACCCCCAACCACATTACCGTGATAGATGAGAATCGACTGGACGAGTTATTCTCTTAGAGCATTTTAGAAATCTGAGAATTAAAAGCTTTAAACTAGCCAAATGTGTGCCAAAGTGTGCATTACCATATTCTAAGAATTAATTGACGCGCTTTGTCAGAACTGCTTGTGTAGGCATTAAAGCATGAATTATTCAATTATGGACCAAAGTGGAATGTGAATTATGTTTCTGCAGTCAGCCTTTTCCTCATCAGTCTGTTGCTTTTTAAAGAAATTTCTATACTGATCAGTAATAGACTTTTCTTCATGTTTGACAGATGCAGCCTTCTCTTCTGATTCATCCTCTCCTGAGAATGTGGAGGATTCCGGACTGGATTCGCCATCCCATCAGCCCCTTGGGGCTTCCCCAGAGCCCACCGGTTGGGCAGCCTGGCCATCCACTCAGTCTCAATCTAAAGACTCTGTAAACTTGAACCGATCCTGTGACCCCTTCCTCACAGCGTTCAGTGATCCCTCACTTGGTCGATCTCCTCTTCCACAGGATGACCCCACAAAAGCCTGGCCTTCCAATCTACGTTCTCCACGGGCCCCACCCGACGTCGAGCCCACCACCTTCAGCTTCCCGGCCTTCTCCCACAGCCTGCCGTCTTCAGAACTGGAGCCCTCTGTGTGGAGCTGTAAACACATTCCTCCAGAAGACCCCTTCTTGGATGCTTTTGAACGCTCTGCCCTCAAAGACAACCTGCCTCCACCTGATGCCTGGGCCCCGCCTCCCCCTCGGCCCACCAGGGACGGCAGGGGCATGGAAGGCCGCACTGATCCCTTTTCTATCTCTCTGAATGACACTAAAACCCTCCCTCCCCCATCCTCCTCCCGCAAAGACCGAGACAGAAAAAGAGAACGTAGCATCCCACCTCCAGAGTCCCCAGATGATCCTTTCGCTATTACTATGATCGGTAGTCCAACGCACCAATCGTCGCTGGCGGCGCAGACGGCTGCACAAGGCAGAGCCAGTAGTAATAGACCGACGCCCAGTCCTAACCCCGCCCCCAGTTCTCAGCCGAAGAAAGAGCTGATGCACTGGAACTCAGTGCATAACCCTTTTAGTGAAGGCACTACAAATAACATTGTCACACAAGAGTCCACCAGAAAACAGAGATCTTTTCACGACGAGCCTCGCAGGAATGGACCACCGCTCACACGGCATTCTGGGCCACAGGAGGACCTCTGCTTCTCTACAGACAAGGACCAGAATTTCCTGGATATTAACACACATCCAGGTATTATAGACTAGTGTATGACTAATATGGTGTTTTAATGACGGATGCAGATACTGATATTTAGAGAGCAGAGTGCATGATATAATGCCAATACACAACGGCCCTAAAATATGTAAAGACAATTAACCCTCACTTAAAAATGGCATTTATTATAAAGAAATGCAGCACAAGCATATCTTTCAAGCAAAACATTTCTCAAAAAGAAGCTTGTTAGGTTTCAAATTCTAAATGAATAAATATCTTACTCAAAATAGAGACAAAAACATTTTCTGGTTGTCAGTCATTAGAGAAACATAGTCATAGTTAATATGATGAAAAATCCCGGTGGTTGCTCTGCTAGGACACCTAGATAATTGCCAAATATCTAACAAATGTGTTGTTTGCAGATGCCACTTAATTTGATATTTTACATCTAATGCAATGATATTCATTTGCCCAAAAGTGTCTAATTATTTTTTGGATCCACTGTTTAATGATGACAAAAAACAAACATGTACACTGCCGCTGAAAAGTTAGGTTGGATCTCTATAAATGTTTTACAATTATGTTTCCTGTGCTTACCCAGGCTGCATTTATTTGACCAAAAAGACTATAAAAACAGTAATATTGTGAAATATTTTTACAATTAAAAATGAATTTTTCATATATTTTCAAATCTTTTATTCCTCTGGTGGCAAAGCTGAATTTTCAGCAGCCGTTACTCCAGTCTTCAGTGTCACATAATCCTTCAGAAATCATGCTAATATGCTGATTTGGTGCTCACATTTAACATTTAAACGTTTATTATTATTATTATTAATGTTTTAAACAGTTGTGCTGCTTAATATTTTTGTGGAAACCGCAATAAATAAATCAGTAATCACTTTAATTTATTTAGTATTGATTTCTTTTAAAAAAAATCTTACTGACCCCCAAACATTTCAGTGGAAGTGAATTTGTTTTAACAATGTTAACTCAAAATCCACACACACACACATTTGACGCGTGAACAAGTCATTCAGAGCAATTGAAGGATTTGTTTCCATCTCAGAAATACAAGTATTTATGAATCAGACATTTCTGCTTTTCTCATGAATAAGGCAAATGTCATGATTTTCAGTGAATTTTCTAAAGTCTTGGAAAATAGCATACAAGTCATATAGAGTAGGGTTGTGACGGTGAGGAAATTTTCCCACCGGATAATCGACGTGTGACAACACCGGTAATACCGGTATCACCGTGGGGGCGGGGCGTTCCCTCTTTTCCTTGCTTTCCTTCGCTTTTAAATAGCTTATAAAAGCGGCATGCGCATTTTACTTTCACTTTGAAATAGCGGCAATTCGGTGTAAAGCAATTGTTCGTTTTTAGTTCGTTTGAATTTTCCCTCTTTTCCTCGCTTTCCGTCGCTTTTAAATAGCTTAAAAGCACCGTCTGCATTTTACTTTCACTTTTGAATTAGCGGCAGTTCGGCGTCAATTGCTTGAATGCAACAGCAAAATACAACGTCAAACTCACTTTAGC